TTAAAAAAATTATCTCTTAATTTGTTAAAGCGACAAGTAAAAATAATAATCTATTTTTAGTATAAAAAAACTTAAATATTTTCTATATGTATATGATTATTGATATATTTTCACCAAATAATTAACAAATAGAGGTTTGACATAACATTGAAATGTGGTGTGACTTGTTGGTCCCTCGATTTGAAGTTTTATGGGAATTTCATGTTATAATTGGATTGTGCAAACACTTTTAAACTCACGTTTCGAAATCATAACAATCCAATCGATGCCTTTTTTTACTATACAAATTGCCTTTTATCCATGCAAGTAGGGACGGATCTAAATTATCGAAAATTCCATAACTTTTGTGTGGATTTAATATTAATAATTATATTAAAAAATCTATTTGACATGTATAAAAAATATCTTAAGGGAACTAAGTAACAAGACAACAGTTGGTTTAGTAATAGTGAAGAATCTTGTTTAAGCTAAGTTGATCTTATGTATGGGAATTTGATTATTAAAAATTCATTAGTTTCAAATTCTAAATTTGTTTCTCCATGCAAACCTACTTTTATTATCTTTTTTTGTCACTTGATATTCAGTATTTGCATTGATGTCAATTGAATTTCAATTCGTGCTGGAAAATCTCATTCCTTATAAAATGTCTTCATACTAGGGGATTCAAACTCGATATATTTGACTAGGAGTATTTACCACTCCACCATAACATTTATTTGTTATACTTGTTTCAATTCTCTTTGAATTACCTCAACTTTTTTGAAGTTATCCAATTCTCTCTTAGTTTTTTTTTATTATTATATTTTATATTTCACCACTATTTATTTTTTAGAAAAATATAAAAAGAAAAGAGAAAATACTTCCTCCTCGTCCTATATTTCCCTCATTATTTTTGTAATATCGTAAAATGGAAGGAAAAAAGGAAAGGAAAGGAAATAACCAGATGGCAAAATTAAATTCTCACTAAATGAAAGTTTTTGATTACCAACAATCTGTAACTATTAATATTTTTCTTCATCATCTTTTCTCAAATTCAAAAAGGACTTTACTACATTTCCTCCACGTTGATTTTTTATTTATTATTGCAAATTTAGAAAAAATAAAATAAACTTTGGGTTAGTCAAAAATAGAGTAGGCGTTGGGGAAAATAATTAAAGAGTGCAGAGCCAAGAAACCCGTGAGTACTTAAATTGTTACCGCACCCAATTCCCAATTATAGACTTTAAATTCTAATGGGCCCCCAATAAAAAGATGGGCCCATTTATATCCAGCAATGCTCATCCTTTTTCATTGTCAGCCTATAGTAGCTCAACCTCCACACTTTTGTTCTCTGATGTTTTGTTCAATTTTACTTGTTCATTTTAGATTTTACATATTTCGTAAGAAATAACGATTAATATGAATATGTAAATACAATACACATATTATTTAATGTATAATTTTAGATCTTGGAAATGATCTAGGAAAATAAATAATTAATGTTGAGTGTAAATTTTTTTTTTTTTTTTTGATATATTAGAATTGACAAGTAAAAGTAAACTTTTATTTTTTGAATATTGAACAAATAGAAGTGAACGATAAGAGTATATTTTATTGCTAATTTTGTTATTTGCTTCGCGAAGGATTTAATAATATAGAGATTAGTATTGTAAAAAATTACATCCGGATAGAAATTTCTATAACAGGCATTCTTTATATGATAACATTTCATTGTAAATTGTGATATTATATGTTTTCTATGATAATATTTAACAATAATACATACACATTCATTAAATTTCTCAATCCGTACATAGAATTAGGACTCAAGTTATTAAATTTGTATGATAAATTGTTTACATCCGTCCCATGATTAGAGAGTTTATTGACAATGACAAAGAGGCTTCCTTTTCATATTGGAATGTAACATATGTCTTTACATGTATTAATAATATTGTTATATTCATGGGCGGAGTTATCCCTAGTTAAGAGTGGTTAGATGAATAACCTTTGTCGGAAAATTATTGCAAGCATATATGTTAAATATCGACATTGTTAGATATATACTACTAATTGTTAAATACTTTAGACATAGTAAATAAAGATAGCCCGGTGGTTAAAGCTATCAAATACACCTGGGAGGCTTGGGTTAGAGCCCAAACTTGGGCATTTTTTTTTTTCAGTTCCATTTTTTAAGTTGAAAAAGAAAGAAAAAGAGAAGTATTGAAAACATCCCTAAACTTGGTGAATTATTAGTTTCATTTTGAATTATTGATAGCCGTAAAAACATTCCTTTACTTGACTAACTGAACTTAAATACACCTCACGATCTTGTAACATGAGTGAAATACACCCATAAATTCTCGCCAAATTTAAAGGTGTTTTCAACACTTCTCTTGGCTTTTTATTAATAGTCCATACTCCTGCAAGAGTTTGATCACTTGTTATATTATATGACAGATTGGGGGTGTATTTTAGTTTAGTTAGTCAATTAGAGGGGTGTTTTTAAGGGTGTCAATAGTTCATGGATGAAACTAATAATTTGTGCCAAGTTTAGGATTGTTTTCAATACTTTTCTCTAAAGTAAAAAAGAACAGAAGTTGTAGTTCCATTTTGATAATTTGACCATCGAGGTTTATTTTCTTACTTGTTCTAAAGCATGAATATTTTTGACAAAATTTTTAACTCTGCCACTGATTATATGCATAAACATATATAGTTGTAGTAAATATATATATATATATATATATATATATATATATATATATATATATATATATGTTTGAAACATTTTATTTTTTGAAGATTTAGTGACATACAATAAATAATGATAGTAACAAAAGAGCTTAAAACAAATTGTATATATATATATATATATGTTTGAAACATTTTATTTTTTGAAGATTTAGTGACATACAATAAATAATGATAGTAACAAAAGAGCTTAAAACAAATTGTAGTGGGGTTGTGTGAGAATGACATTTGAGGAACAATAAATAAGAGCTACAATTCAGATGCTAAGTTTGTCCATGTTTCATGAAAGGGCAACATCACCTTTTACAATTTCTTCCTTTTCCTCGTGAATTGGGACATTATATACATTTAAAAAAATAATAAAGATCGTTGGATCAATTAATATATCAATATAATTAAAATATACATAATATATATATTATTAATGATAATACACATCGTTGACTTCTTCAAGTTCTTTGTTTACTACTCTGATTTTTTTAATTTTATGTTTTTGAAGTTTAGGCATTTTTCATGATGGTAACTAACTTAAATAGTTACTCTCCTGATCATTTTATTATATTCTCTTAAAAAATACTTACAAATTGTAGATTATTATTTTTGTATCAGAAGTGTATAATGAAATAAAGCCTCAAAATTCAGGACAATAGATTTAAGTGTTAGTTAACAACACATGCAAGTTTTCTATATTCAATTTAGACTTGTGAAAATTTTAATAACATTACTAAAATTGAAGATTATTTAAAATTAATCTGATAATAGTGTTATAAAAAACTGAACAACACAAGAAATTGTTACCAAAATAACAAGACATGTAAAATGAAGATTGTATCAAAGTTATCCCCCGGCCAAAATAATTTGTGTACAAGACAAGATTTGTCAGTTTGATATGACTTGTGAATAATTTAACAAAATATACCAAATGAAGATTATGTCAAAATTATATCCTCTCTCCTAACATAACCTAATGATTAAGATAAAATTTGTCAATCCGACAATACTTGTAAGCAATTTAATAAGAGAGATACAACGAAGATTGTCCTAAAATTATGATCACACCCTACATAAATTGTGAAAGTGTAGTTAACCAATCTTTTTGGGTGTGTTCAGTAGCGGAGCTAGGATTTTTGGGGCTTCAAAATCTGAAGAAATAAACACACAAACTAATTTGGTTCGACATCTATTATATATATATAAAAAATAATTTTAACCATTTATAAATAATATATTTTCCGTCGAAGAGGATTCGAATGAACCACTGACAGTAGGCTGGCTCCGTCCTTGGGTGTGTTATGTATAAGTAGCACCACAACTATTTTTCCAAAATTTGATCAACAACATCAAAATGATCTTATTTGTGCAAAAGGCCCAATAGTATCAAACTCGACTAACAAACTCTGTTATCTGGGCTCCAGCCCAAGTTATCCAAGTGTATTATACTTGGCCCTTTCACCCAAACAGCAAGATAATAAAGGCCTAATTCCCTTTTCCTTGCTGGCTAATTTACGCAAATGTCTCTTTCTAAAGTCACCGTTAAGATTTTATCGACTCTATTTTTAAAAGTTGTGCAAATATAGTCTTTAAAAAAATTATCTTTTCGAATACGTTCAAGTAAAAATTATCTATTTGAATCAGTCTTACACTGCACCATAATCCATATTAGTGTGAGGGGTGGAGCCACCTTGTGGTCAATATCCTAGTTATACATGGTTAAAGATAATTTTATAGATATATATATCGTAGATGTCGAACCTCCTTCGCTTATGAGTGTGCTTTAAATTTTAAATACTCTTATTGAAAATCTTGACTGCACCATTATTGATGTGTTGTTATGCATATATTAATCTTACATAGATAATACCTTATTCATGAGGAGGTAAATTATATTAAATTTCCAATTATAATAATATGTATTTTTTTTTTTTTCATTTAAAGGAATATTAACTTTCTTCAAATTAGTAAAGGTAATTGTTTTTCTCTTCTTATTATGCTATTTTTGACATTAATAGTTTTTCTAAGGCTGGTCTGATAATAGTTGTCACTTGACACACTCAAATAGTAATAAATAATAGAGAGTAATATTACTATATTATTTTTTTATTTTATTAAATTCAATACTTTAATAAATGTGTTACATGATAAATAATATTTAATAACAAAAATAAAATAAACACAAAAGATAAATATCTTTTGAATACAGTAGTTAATTATTTTGCTTGTCAATAATTAGTACGTTTTCCATCAACCAAATACCGCCAATTGCCAAACGGAGCGAGGAAGCGGGAAACAGAAAAACACACCATGGCTGAGCAGCAGCTTGTAAGCATGGGCTTTTCAGAAGACATCGCCGTCGAAGCTCTGACGGCGACCGGCGGCGATATCGTCAAAGCCACCGAGTGGATTCTCAGTCACGGCCATAACCATAAGGGTTCTCAAGATTCTTGCAATTTCAATCCAGTTTCTTCTTCCACCTCTGGGTCTCCCACTACCGCCGCCCACGATCACCATCCATTCCAACCCAAAATCGATCGATTTTTTCAATTTCAATCCAAACCCCTCACACACACTTCTGTATCAGTGCTTAAACCTATTGTTCCTACTAAAGGAGTGACAACCCATGAAGAAGAAGAGGAAAAAATAGACGTGGAACCTCCTTTACTCCGTCTAACTAAGCGTCCTAAAGTAGTAGAATCTGAACAAAGAAAGAAACGACCCCCTCATGAACCCTTGTCCGAACGAATGCGACCTCGAACCCTTGACGATGTTGTTGGGCAAGATCACCTTTTGGCACCTAAATCACTTCTTCGATCAGCCATTGATTGCGGTCGTCTTCCTTCAATACTTTTATGGGGACCACCGGGTACCGGCAAAACCTCCATTGCTAGAGCTATAGTTAACACTTGCTCTGCTTCTGAAGCTGGTGGAAATACCTACCGGTTTGTTTCTTTGTCGGCTGTTACTTCGGGGGTTAAGGATGTTAGAGAAGCTGTTGACGAAGCGAGAAGAATGAAAAAGAAGAGCAACAAGAGGACCATTCTGTTCATTGATGAGGTTCATAGGTTCAACAAGGCTCAGCAAGATTCCTTTTTGCCGGTGATTGAAGATGGCAGTGTCATTTTCATGGGAGCTACCACTGAAAACCCATCATTTCATTTGATTACGCCTTTATTGTCCAGGTGCAGAGTTTTGACTCTCAATCCTTTAAAGCCCCACCATATTGCTACGCTACTCAGGCGGGCTGCGGCTGATTCTGATAAGGGGCTGTCCTGTTGTATGGGAGAGAGTATGAAAATTGCAGTAAATGATGAATGTATAGAGTTTCTTTCAACAAACTGTGATGGAGATGCAAGGGTAGCATTAAACGCCTTGGAAATTTCAGCTACCACTGCTGCTGCACGTACGGGAATGGCTAGAGGATCAAACGAGGAGTTAGGGGACAAACAAGGAAATGCTGATGAGTCTCCTTTGTCTGCAGTTGTCAGTCTGGATGATGTCAAAGAAGCAATGCAATGTAAGCATTTGGCTTATGACAGAGCAGGGGATGAACACTATAATCTTATCAGTGCGCTTCACAAATCTATGAGAGGAAGTGATGCTAACGCTTCCATTTATTGGCTGGCGAGAATGTTGGAAGGGGGTGAAGAGCCTCTTTACATAGCACGAAGGCTGGTCAGGTTTGCTAGTGAAGATGTGGGGTTAGCTGATCCATCGGCTCTTGGCCAAGCTGTTGCTTGCTACCAAGCTTGCCATTTTATTGGCATGCCTGAGTGCAATGTTATCCTTGCTCAGTGTGTTGCTTATTTGGCCTTGGCTCCGAAGTCTATTGCTGTCTATAGAGCAATAGGGGCAGCTCAAAAAGTGGTAAGGGAATCCGTTGGACAAAATGAAGGAGTGCCCCTTCATCTTAGGAATGCACCAACTAAGCTAATGAAGGATCTTAATTATGGGAGGGACTATATTTATCCTCCTGACAATCCAAACTCATCCCAAGCTTACTTGCCACCGTCTCTTCAAGGTTATAAGTTTCTTGATTGGCCAAATGTTGCTGCAAATGATCGATGATGAGGATTACATCACAATGTTATGGCTTCTAAGAATAGCTTCTTTGCTGGTTAGCACTGTTTCTTCTCTTTTATCTTATTTCTCTGGTTTTGGGATTTTAGTGATCAGAGAAATCTACAGTAATTGTGAGCCTCTTTGTAGTTATTTTTTGGGGACTTCTATTAGTTGTGAGCAGAGGAGGTGGGAAAAACTTACTGGTTTGGAGGGATTGTATGATGCCAATTTTGGTTGTAGTTTTGTCAGAATGTATGCATCCCCTCTTTTTTGTTTTTGTTTTTGGGCTACATCTGGAAACAATACATATTTACTTGCTGAGATCTTGTGAGGACATGTGAGGTTTACTTTACTGCTTCTATCTCTATTTTTACAAGGATTGTTCACATACTATCTCAAAAACTTGATCTGAAAAATTTGGCCTAGATGGTGATGAATAATTTCTTCATATTTGACCTATATGTTCAACGATTGAGCTTTGGTTCCATGCTATAAACGAATAAAATAATAGTTATGACGTAACTGTTTTGGATGATGCCCAAATTCAGAGCTCCTCTTTTGTGATACCATATGATTTAAGAGGTCTTTGAATTCGTAATGATAGCTTTCTTAACTGCTGTGTTAACCATCAAATCTATACGGCGTAATATCATGTCTTTATGAGCAAGTAATGTGGAATAGCAGTTGCTGATTGAAGGCATAATAAAATGGGATGAGCTTGGGCATTGTGATGTATTTTATCATCTGGGAGAAAAAAGATATTACTGCCATATGTGTAAAATACAGTATAAGTTGATATCTGAGATTGGCCATACATAAGACAATTCGTAACTATCAACTCAATCAAGCTTTTCTGTGAGCGGTCTGTAGGGACTGCTTAGCAGTGTGTTCCTGTTACTTCAGAAACCTGTCTCTGATTATTATCAATTCCCTCTAAACTTGCTCCATGTTAATTCTCTCCTGTGGTGTTTCTGCTGAACATGCTAGCCCAAGTTGGAAAATAGAAACCAAGCACTTGATCTGTTCACTACTTATATTCTTGTTAGCATCCTCTAATGTCATTTCTCCACAGAGAGCGGATCCATCAACAATATCCATTATTTGATCTGGTAATGCCAGTCTGATGAAAAGGTGCAGATTCACATTGTCTTCGAATAGTTTGTCTGTGGGCCTTTTTCCAGTGAAAATCTCCAGCAATAGGATCCCATAACTACACAAATCTCCTCAGCACCCGTGCCATACTCTGCAGTATTCATCCATATTAGCCACTCACTCTGTAAAACGTGCATTTGAAACTAACCCAAGTTTTGAAGTATTTGTCAGATTTAAGTAGAGGATAATAAAAAAAACGAGAAAGGATATTTACCTGGTGGGGCGTATCCAATAGTTCCTTGTATTCCGAGTGAGCTGAATTGGTTAAGGTTGCCTTCCCCAGAAAAACTAGGGATGAGCCTGGCCAATCCAAAATCACTTACATGTGCTATCATGTTGTCGTCGAGAAGAATATTACTTGGTTTGAGATCACAGTGAACCACAGGGATTTCACATTGATGATGAAGATAATATAATGCAGAAGCCACGTCTATTGCAATATTTAATCTCTGAAGAATGTTTAAGCTATTGCATTGTATTTGTCCTTCTGATTCTTGACGTAACCACTCCTCCAAGCTTCCATTTTCCATGAACTGATACATTATGGCCTTAAAGTCATTTCCTTTGAAGTCAATGCTGGAGCATGCAGTTATGACTTTCACCAGGTTTCTATGCCGGGTATTTCTCAAGGTGTGGCATTCAGCCATGAAGCTTTTAAATGCACCGTGTCTTTGGAGGTTGAGTACCTTGACTGCAACTGGATTTTCATTTGATGAGTGAACAATTCCTTTGTACACAGTGCCGAAACTGCCTGATCCTAACAACCTATCTGAAGAAAAACCATTAGTTGCATCATGAAGCTCCTTATATGTGTAATCATGGGGAAGGTGAGATGCCGAGATGTGGATGTTGCATCTCTTCTTTTTCTGGATCTTTTAATAAAAAACATAGAAAGCAGAAAACATGCTATTGCAGCAAATAAAACAATACTGATAATTGCAGTCAGAACGGGTGCAAGACGCTTCCTCTTTGTTCTATGGTTTTCTTTATTCGGGCAAGGTGGTAAATCAAACTCTTGGATTCCACCACAAAGCTTGGGATTCCCCGCAACTTGTAATGCGGTTGAATTTGAGAATACTCCTTGGACGGGAACCTCACCCTCTAAATTGTTGTCTGAAAGATTCAGGTACAGTAGGGAGGAAAGATTCAGAGTCCAAGGGGGAATTTCTCCTGATAAGTTGTTTCTTGAAAGGTCTAGCTCCCGTAGGTTTTGTAAGTCAGCTAAGTACGGGATGGACCCTTCAAATGAATTGTGTTGCATGTAAAGTAATTCCAAGGCCAAACATTTCCCTATGGTGCTTGGAATCATGCCTGAGAAATTGTTGTAAGAAACGTCAAAACCTGCAAGGTTTGTTATATCACCAATCTAGAGCCGTCAAAATGGGCTTAGCCCACGGGGCTGGCCCAACCCTACCCGTTATTGGGGTAGGGTTGGGATAGAATTTTTCACGCCCATTTAAAACTAGGGCTTATAAGCCCGGCCCATATAAGCCCTTGGCCCTTGAGGCTTGATCGGGGCTGGGCTGGGATCGGCCCATGGGCCAAAACTTTTTATTCAAGAGTAATTTACAATAATCTCACTAGTATATGATCTAATAATTTGAATACACGCTATGTTGTAATATTATGAATCTTCGTACCCAGATACTTGCATCTCGGAATATATGGATTCAAAATTAGGTTAATTTGTTCTAGATACACTCTATCAAAGTAGATTCGCATGTATCTAGGATACATATACAAATCTCACGCCCTTGCCTCCCTCCCATCTTGCTTGTCACTCTCTTATCTCACTCACATATCTGGTATGCGAGATACATGCTAATTACACTAAATTTTTGCTAGTGTTATTGAAACAACACCATTATTTGCCATATTTGAATTGAAAATCTTCTCATTTTCTTGATGTTATAGAATTACAAGTTTGAAAGAAAAAAAATAAAAAAAAATAAAAAAAAAAAAGAAGGGCTAGCCTGCCCCAGCCCTCGGCCCTTCTAGGGTTGAGTTGGGTTGAACATTTTCAGGCCCTACCAAATGAAGGGCCAGCCTGCCCTAGCCCTTCAAATTCCTTTGGCGCGTGAGGCTTGGGCCGGGTGGGGCTAGGACGACCCTTTTTGACAGCTCTACTCCAATCTCCATTGGCAGGGAACCCATAAAAGAGTTATAAGAGATATTAACATGTGCTAGGGATGGCAAACTCAGCAGTTGCCCTGGAATTATGCCACTTAGATTGTTTTCACCTATATAAAGCCTCAACAGCTGTTTGCAATTTCCAAGGGATGGAGGAACGGTTCCATTTAAAGTATTTCCAGACAAATAAAGATAGAGCAGTCTCGTGATGTTTCCTATTGAAGATGGGATCTCGCCTGTCAATCTGTTTGAATCCAAGTTGAGAGTTCCCAAGTTTGAAAGGATTCTTATAGATGCTGGAATGCTACCAGTTAGACGATTTTCTTGCAGGTAAAGTATATTTAGGTTCACGAGGTTTGCAATTTCTTTGGGTATGTTCCCTCGAATCCTATTCTGTCCCATGTGTAATCCTGTCAATAGGGTGGACAGGTTGGTTACTGAGTTTGGAAACATGCCTCCAAAGTGGTTGTGGGCCAAAAGCAAGTACTGTAGGTTGCTGCAGTTGGCCAGGGAACTGATGAAATTCATGTTATCAGGTTCATCACTCCCCAACTGATTACCGTTAACGTTGAGCCACCTTAAGTTCTTCACCTTTCCTAAACTTGCAGGTACATTTCCAGTAAAATTGTTGCCTGGAAGATTAAGTATTTGAAGCATTGGCAAATGAATCTGGAAATGTTCCAGTGAATGAATTCATTCCCCAGTTGATCTTCTCTGCTTTTGGAAAAGCAACACCGATGTTGCTTCTCAGCTTACCCGAGAAGTAGTTATAGGACAGGCCTATTCCTTTAAGTGATGACAAATTGTAGAGCGGAGGAGGGAACTCACCATTATTTGAGGAAAACAAATGATATTGGTCAAAGTCTCTGCATATATTATTGCTGCATTTGAAGAGTTGATCGACATCCAAAAGATGTATTAAGCTATTATAATATCATAGAGTGGCTAAGAACAGAATATTTTCTGCGACCTAATCACTACACTTCAATTCATCATCAATAAGATAAGAGAGTAGAGTTGACAAAAGAATTCATTCAAGGTCAACAATAATGTTAATTCCTGCTGAAGGTATTTTAGTGCACAATATTATCCCAAGGGGTTGTCTAGTTACAAGGATTAGGGGGTTATCCAATATAAAATTTGGAATTAGATTTGTCTAGTGTTTGTTGTGGACAATAGCTAAAAAACCAGTAGAGAAATTCAAGTTCATAACCTAAATCCTTAGTTGTGATTTGAGCCAAACAGTGTAACAAAACAGCAGGAAAAACGTGCTGAAAATGATGACAAAGTCTAACTATCACCTACCACAAATTAGAAGAAATGCTTCTACACTACAATTTTAATGAAATCCAGTTAAGTATATAGTGTGTAATCCTGGATGCTCTGCTTGGGAAGGATACTGCCTTGTCAACTTGGCAGAATATCATCACCCTGTCAACTGTCACCCCAAAAAATTACTCACAAGTTGCTTCGTAAGTGTAGGAGAGCTTAGTAGCCAATACAACCGAAAGCAACATTACAATCAACAAATTTGCAGAGCTAAATGAAGACTTGATCTACACAAGGATAGGCTCGGGAGCTGGATCTGAGGGAGCACCGCTACTGCCATTGAGGACGGTGACATTGCCATCTGAATCCACATCCACAATTACTGAATCACCTTCTTTGATCTCACCTGCAAGCATCTTCTCGGCCATGCTATCCTCCAGCAGTCTCATAATAGCTCTCCTCAATGGCCTAGCTCCATAGCTTGGGTTGTATCCTTCATCAACCACCCTGTCTCTAAACCTCTCTGTCACTTGAAGTTCTATCTCCTTATTCTTCAACCTCACAAAGACCTCCTTAAGCATGATATCAGCAATCTCCTTCACCTCCAACTTAGTGAGCTGACGGAATACAATCATCTCATCTAATCTGTTTAAGAACTCTGGCCTGAAGTACTGTTTCAACTCCTCAGTCACCAAGCTCTTGATACGGTTGTAACTACTATCCTTCTCGTCAAAATCTAGATCAAAACCTATACGACGACCTCCTTTTTCTATCACACTGCTTCCAACATTCGATGTCATGATGAGGAGTGTATTCTTGAAGTCGACAGTTCTGCCCTTGCTGTCTGTCAATCTTCCATCTTCAAGAATTTGAAGCATCATGTTAAAGACATCAGGATGAGCCTTCTCAATCTCATCAAAGAGCACAACAGTGTAAGGTCGACGCCTCACAGCTTCAGTTAATTGACCACCTTCAGTGTAACCAACATACCCAGGGGGTGAACCGATGAGTTTAGACACAGTGTGTCTCTCCATAAACTCACTCATATCAAGCCGAATCATTGCTTCTTCAGAACCAAAGTAGTACGTTGCTAAAGACTTGGCCAGTTCTGACTTCCCAACACCAGTTGGACCAGAAAAGATGAAACTGGCAATAGGTCGGTTGGGATTCTTGAGTCCAACACGGGCACGTCTGATAGCACGACTAATGGCTTTTACAGCTTCATCCTGGCCAATGACTCGGGTATGAAGTGTTTCTTCCATTTTTAGGAGGCGATCAGATTCATCAGTTGAGACCTTCTCTACAGGAATGCCAGTCCAGGAAGAGACAATGTGATGAATATCTGCCTCTGTCACTATAGGACCTGCTGCATCTCCTGCCTCAGATTCCGCCTTGCTCTTCTCTTTGTTTTTGTCTATCAAGGCTGAGATTTGTGCCTTAAGGTCCATTTCTCTATCACGCAACTCCCCAGCCTGTCCAATGCATAGAGAGGATTAAAATTGCACATCCTGAACATCTCAATGCTTTCAATAAGAAATTAATCAGTTCAGAGGAATTTTATGCACAGGATTGAGAGGAAACCAGTCACCTTCTCAAAATCTTGACCACGGACAGATTCATTTTTCTCCTTTGTAATCTGGCGAAGCTCCTTCTCCAGCTCTCTTGCTTCCTCAGGGAGCTAGATGGTATCAGGAAAACAGGTCATGACTCCATTAGGAAGAAAGGGAAGGACAAAGTAAGACAAAGAGAGTACTTTATACCTGTGCATGACGAAGTCGAACACGGGAACCAGCTTCATCAATCAAGTCAATTGCTTTATCAGGCAGAAAGCGGTCACTGGAACAAAGGTTCAACTCAAAAACATATTCATGCTTTACTTCAGATAAATCATGGAATTAAGATGATTTTTTTGGAGTGAGATAAATGTGCAATTTTTCAAGAGATAAAATGTGCATAAGCCTATTCCGGCACTGATACAAAAGAAAAGACACTTCTCCTAAGAGTTTTATTATTGGGAAGGATATATCTAAATCATACGAGAAAAAAATTAGTTTGCTATGAAATCCCAAAGTCAAAATGTACCAACAACTTGAGTCCGGAAGATAATTTGGAAAATGAATATCTGATTAATAATACCTGATGTACTGGTGAGAAAGCTTGGCAGCAGCGTCTATTGCCTCATCAGTGTAACGGAGCTTGTGATGAATCTCATACCTCTCCCGAAGCCCTTTCAGGATCTGTATGGTTTCATCCACAGAAGGTTCAGGTACTTTAACTGGCTGGAACCTCCTCTCCAGTGCAGGGTCTTTCTCAATGTGCTTTCTGTACTCATCCAGGGTTGTGGCTCCAATACACTGACAAGTGAAACCAAGCAAAATACTTCTCAATTACACCAGCTTTGAAATTCTTTTGTAGTTTTACCAGGATGAACTCGGATCAAGATAATGATTAAACACCAAATTTAAGGTAGATTTCATAGTTCTCATTGAAATTCCAAGGAACGACATACTACAGGTCAAGGAGGAAAACGAACCTGTAGCTCGCCTCTAGCCAGGGCAGGTTTCAAGATGTTCGCAGCATCAATTGCTCCCTCTGCAGCTCCAGCTCCAATCAATGTGTGTACTTCATCAATAAACAGTATTATTTCATCACTTTGTTTGATTTCCTCCATTAGTTTCTTCAGTCTTTCCTCAAACTCTCCACGGTATTTTGTCCCAGCAACAAGCAATCCCATATCAAGTGTTATGACCTGATCATCACCCATAGCAAATCACAGATTCATATAATGACAAGGATATATACATTTTTTGAAAAGGAGGGTATACCACATCAAAATAGTTGCAGATAAAAAGATTCACAAAAATAGGTTCATCTTCCCTATGACTTCAGTTAGACTCAGAATTGAAGTAAGAGGGTAACTAAATCCTGTTTTTCTTCAGTGCTTTATAGCTGAATCCATATACCAGTCACTGAAAGAAATATGTAAAGCAGGCTCAAGGCGGTTGAAATTCGAAAACCTGTTTGTACAAGTTAGTGGGACATTCAAGCGTTTCTGTAAATTTTTGGCACGCCTACCAAAAATATTGATTGGACACTTTAGAATCACGTAATTTTTGGCCCAGAGTGTTTGGGGGGGGGGGGGGGGGGGGTTATGGGTAATCAGATAACAATATGGCTTTTCCTACTTTAACATATTTCTTGTGTATATCTCTGTCTGCAGAGTTTTTCCTTCCAATTTTAAAAATTACCAACTGTACAAAATCAAATTCTAAGACATTATAAAAATGATTATTGAAGTCTTTCTATCTAAGAATGTAGCACAGCTTCTGGATCTGCCACACAGTTGAGATGAAATTGAAAAAGAGAAAATAAAGCACAAGCATAAAACATGTTCTGCAAATTTATCATACACCTCTGTACCTTCTTTCCCTCTATTGTTTCAGGGACATCACCATTAGCAATTCTTTGAGCTAGCCCTTCGGCAATAGCAGTTTTTCCAACACCTGGTTCTCCAATAAGACAAGGGTTGTTTTTTGTACGGCGACCCAAGATTTGAGTAACACGCTCGATTTGAGCCTGTCTTCCAACTACAGGATCTAGTTTCCCCTGAAAATATAATATGACCAGATCAAATAATTGAAGAGAGCCAATCAATCACCACATTATGACAAAATATCTTTCTATGTACCTCTTCAGCTAACTTTGTCAAATTGGTGCCGTACTCCTCCAATGTAGGCATTTTTAGGCCAGAAGTTCCACCGCCAACACTAGCACCAACAGCCTCACTACTCTCGCCAACCATCCGTATGACCTATTTATTTATTTTTCAACCAAAAAGAGAAACTGATTTACAATGAAGTCAAGCAATTTAAATACCCTCACCCTCATCAGAAGTAAACAATAACAGCATACCCAGTGTAATCCCACAGGTGGGATCTGGGGAAGGTAAGATGTACGCAGACCTTGGCTTCAAGAAAAGCATTTCAAACCAGTTTGAGAAAGGAAAATGACTTGCCTGTGTGCGAATGTTACTGGGGTCAGCACCCAAGTTTTCAAGAACACGGGCAGCCACACCTTCACCTTCGCGCAACAATCCAAGTAGCAAGTGTTCCGAGCCAATGTAATTATGCCCTGCATCACAAAACCAATCAACACAGACAACAAATAAATTATTTTTAGAATCCATGAAGCTTGTGCCTGGAGAGGACTAGAGAGGAAAGAAGTAACTATTGAAAAATCATGACTAACAACTACATCAAAATAAAACTTAAAAGGAGATCATTTTTGTGTTTGCATGACCGTTAGACCATCCAACAAAAGGCTGAAATGATTAGATAGGGGTACCTAGTTGGCGGGCTTCCTCCAGAGATAATTCTAGAACACGCTTTGCACGAGGAGTAAAAGGGATTTCCACTGCAATAAATCCACTACCCCTGCCAATAATCTTCTCTACTTCCACACGAGCATCTTTCAAATTAATTCCCATGGATTTAAGAACCTTAGCAGCAATACCAGTTCCCTCACCAATAAGACCCAGCAGGATCTGTTCTGTCCCAACAAAGTTGTGACCTAGTCGTCTGGCCTCTTCTTGCGCAAGCATAATGACTTTTATTGCTTTCTCGGTGAAGCGCTCAAACATTGCTTTTGGGACAAATCGGCACCCTCGTGGCCGTCTGACAAAAGTTGCAGCTGCCACTTTCGAATGGAGAGTTTCTCCAGATTTTACTAGTAGTGTATCTAACGCATTGCACCCTCGCAGTCCTGCAAAACTGTTCAGCCTTGAGGAAGAACATTTTACATTACATAGCATTCTAACAGTTCTTTGATTTTTCCGGGATCCATTGAATTGTCCAGCCCTTTCACCGGCTACTGAAGATAGAATGTCTGTTGACTGAACTAAAGCTCTAGCCATGATGGACCTGCAACCTGACATGATAGCATATCAGAAAAGATCACTAGTGGCAATGGGAAAAATACCAAGGTTCATATTACATAACATATCCATATAATTAGCAGACATCAACAAAACCATCATTAACTAATAACCATTGAAGGCTACTTTTTTGGACCATTGTTAACCATTAACCATTGAAAGTTAATTTCTTTAGATGACATAATGTAGACAAATAGGATCATTGTGGGAATGCCAAACTTCAAAAAACTCTGCAAATGCATGTTGCCCATTTTCCCAAAATACTCGAGCAACATACAACTAGCGCATAAGCTTAAAGCTAAATTCAAAATGAATAATAAAGCCTCAAAACAAGAAGACCTGGAAAACTATGCAACCACTGGATGGTAACTGTTTTATACAGGATAAAGCAGCCAAGCTACAAGGACTTTAGTTTCTAAACTAGGAGAATCGTGAATATATAATTCCCTATTGCATAGATTAACTTGGTTCCAATGGGAATATATAAACAAACACTCTAGAATTCAACAACAACAACCCACACCCTTGAGACAAGCCAGTTTTATTCAGCACTAGGAGTAATTTAGTGAAGCGGTTAATTGGGAATTCTAACACCACAACAAGTCAACCAGAACTACATTGCTTAAATAAAAAAAATGGTAACCTACATCATACCCCTTTCAAAGAAGCAAGGTCAAAATCTACAACAATACCAACTTATAAAAGAATAACCCCATTACTTGGAAAGAAACTAGTCCAAACAAGTAGAAGCAAAAGACCCATCCTTACAACTTTGATTCATTAAGTAAAAACATCAAAATAACAGGTCAGAACAACTCAAATGAACAAAATCAGGTCCAAAGTTGCAATCTTTACAGAAGTAATGGTTGAATTTCAACACAAGAAATAAAGGGTCGAAGTAGTTAAATGCAGAAACACCTAATTCAAAAAAATTCAAGACACACCCAAAACCAAATCTTGAAAAGAACCCTAATACCAATCTGTGTTATTCATCAATAAACACATACAGATAATGAGATTAATTCATAAAAATGCTCACCTCAATAACACTAAAGATTGTGAAAAGAGGAGAAGAAAAAAAAGAAAGAAAGGGAAACGAAATAGAGAGAGCTTGAAAGTCGGCCGTGTTATATAGCGCTAGTAGGTAGGTAGATATAATTGTCAATTATATATAAATAAATCATATAATAATTTTAAAAAAAATGCTACTCCATTGACCACTCCTGCACCGGCATACACACAACAATATCTCTCCCTTTTTTTCGTGCAAATAAATAACAATAAACCCTATTCTGTTATAAATATATTTGTGTTATAAATGTCTATTACGTAGATTATTTAAGAATCTCTTATTTGGAGAGTAAAATGAGTATATTAAAGTTATTTTTTATTAAATATAGAAATATATTTTTTTTGGGATCAATTAAAAAGAAAAATAAATCGTATAAAATGAACAAACGGAGTATATAATTTTAATTAAATTTAAAGTTCTAAACAATATTGTTAAGGAGTTCCATGCTTTTAATACTGTATACACATATTTAATTGAATTTTATTTGCTTTTTTAAACTTAAGACACATATTTCGAAATGTAAAACATTATTTTATTTAATTATTTGATTTTTGCGATGTCTAAGACTCACTTAAAATACAATATTTCTACCAAAAAATAAAATTTAGAGTTTGAATTTCGAAATTTCTAATTAATGATCTGAAAAGAATCTTGGAAGACTTTTTTTTTTCTTTTTTTGGCTAATTTTCCTGATTTTTTTGAAAAAGATTGTGAAAACTTGGAACAAGTAGGTCCTCTCATTTTGGAGTGACAATAACTTTTGTTTTGTTTTTAGTTTAAGATTCAAGCCCTTGTTTGTTGTTCACGTCACCTTTTTTTTTTTCAGAAAAGAAAAATAACAACAAATATACTAGTAAACGCATGAATTAAATGATTTACATTTTAATGGTCAGACACAAATAAAAGTAGTAGTTGCGTAGAAGTTAGAAATTAAGTACTAATTACGTATAAAATAAACATTTCTTACTGGAAAAATACATCTTCATTTGATTTACGTAACGGGAAGCAAAAAACAATCCATCCTTCTACATTGTTAAAGACCAAAACTAACAATGTGTCAACCTCAAAGACAAAACACAATATGACGCCCATCATAATTGTGGTGTTAGGGCCAACTTATGCACATCACAACTACTTTTCACCACTCGACCTGCCATGGCTAATAAACGTTCTTTTACACCACTTGTACATGTTTTACCTTGTTTGCTTGATATTGGAAGTAGATAATCATGGGAAAGATTTTGAGCTTCATCATGTTGGTCAGGCCAGCAGCAGACTATCAGCCTCAGGATTCGAATTCTTCAATCATGGAAGATTGTCTCTGAGTAGGGCTCACACTTCCACCTCGACTAATTTTGAGTGCATCTAATGCCTTCTGTATTTCCATGTTCATAGCACTGTCAACACTTCCAGATGATAGTTTCTTGTGTGCTTTCTGTAAATGAAGCTTAAGCGAACTGCTGCTCAAGCCAGCGTTCTTTCCACAGATGGGGCAAACCTTCATGATTGGCTTCCGTTGTTGCCATTCCATAGAAACCTTACCATGCAACTTGCGATCTAGGTCCAAAAGAATCTTTGCAAAGCCATCATTAGGTTGGGCTCGGCGATGAACTCGTCTCAATGTATTCCATGCCTTCAACAAAGTTAACTTCCTGCACCATATAAACTTTCCATTATGAAATTTCTTGCATTATTCCCCGACAAATGACATTACTAATCTATATGCCCAGTTCTAATAAGCAACTCATCTAACTGCTTCTGAAAATGGCAACAGAGAACTTTCTATGCAGAATAATACCAAGTTTTGAGAGACGGTCACTCAGAAGAAACATTTTTGTTCTTTATAAAACATAAGTTAATTCATAAACGATTCATGAAATTTTTCGGCACTTACTTCCTGAGCATTAAATAAGCGAGAACTACTGTAGCACTCCTGCTTCTCCCTTCAAAGCAATGAACCAGAACCTTCCCACCCTTCTCTTCAACATGGTCGATAAAATTATGTGCTTCTTCAAAGAGACCACTGATATTAGAATCTTCATCATCACATATCTGCCCATACAAAAAAAGTATTAACAGACATGCAACCTTCTGCTACTATATAACAAACATAAGAGTCGGACAGCATCAAATTGCAGTAAAGAATTTCTGAGAAAATAAAAGGCCACAAACAGATTACTCCCTCGGTTTCAGATTACTTGGCCCATGTTGACTTGACACACCCCTTAAGAAAGCTTTTATTAGGGGTGTATTTTACTAAACTAACCTTTTTAATGATACTTGAAAACTATAAATTTAGCTATTACTCATACTAAGGGAAGAAAGGAAAATATAATAAAACACTCTTGAATTTTCTAAATCGGACAAGTAAAATTAAACATCTATTTTTGGTGTAGGGGCCAAAACGGAGGGAGTACTTCAGTTGCTAATATAAAAACACCAGTAAGAAACAAGAACTACTTCCTCCAGCATCAAAGATTAAAAGTTTTTAGGATAATTATTTTATAGTATGGAAAAAAAACAGGTTCAGCTCAGTAGCCACAAGATGAAGACTCAAAAATATTAAGAGAATTTTAGCACCTTCATTGCTTAAGAGACAGAGATTTGAATTTGTCAGGATGTATGAAACACAAAACATACAATTTAAAGCCAGATTTTAGCCAGCATGAAAAATATAAATCCAACAAAAGCAAGGAGGCTTGTAGAGATTTGAGCACTTACAGAAAAGTTTTTATATTCAAACAAATCAGGAAACTGGGAATCTGACTGCCCAGTTTCATTTGCACACAGACATAAGATATGTGTGATTCCTAAATGCTGCAGTGTGTATACAGATCTAGCAGCAAGTGCCCCACCGATAAACAGACTGCTCGAGATTGCAGATGGTTTTTCTGTACTTGCTGCATCAAAAATCAATGATATCCTTTCCAGAATGTGCTCAAGCCTGACCTATAAGTTGCAGAATTTAGAAAAGGATTACAACATAGTCAAACTCGGGTGTCAAGTGTCTTAAGAGACATGCTGAGTAGAAGATTGGCACCTTCAGCTCATAAGCATCGACCACATAATTACTATCACTTCCTTCAAAGAAACCTGTATTAAAATTGTTTTCCTGGCACATTTTAATTGCATCACTTTTAAGCATCTCAGTCCATTGCTCCAATTCTTTATTTAATTCTGCATCTACCTGAAAAAGAGAGTTAAATGATTGTAATTGGGAGAAGGAGCTTCTTGACTTAGGGTTTTCTTTTAATAGAAGAAAATCTCCAGAACAGTATATAAAGTCATGCCACAACCAATGACAGACAGGAAAGGAACATTAACAAGGATATGAAAGAATTTTGTGCCAAGATATAAATAAAACTCTTTAGTCATAGCCAAGAAAATGTAATGATACCCAGCATATTTCATATGCAAATGCACATCATAATGTTTATGGAAAGCAACTGTAGTAATAAAATGTTAGTCGCAGAAAATCAAGTAATTATCAAGAGAAGCCAATCAAACTACTCTTTTGTGAATCACCAAACTTAGCACAAATACCGTCCTTTTCCTCCGTTAATAGGAAACTTGCCACACATTATCTGGCACCAAACAAGTTTCATTAAACTAATAAGACAATAAGTATAATAAATACTTAAATACTAGTACTCTAGCACAAACACCGTCCTTTTTCTCTGTTGATAGGAAACTTGCCACACATCCTCTTTACATTTTAGTACCCAAAGGAATATTATTAACCATTACACAATTAATACCGGGAAAGAGAATATCTTGTCTAAATTTGGAAAACCACATAATAAGCTTATCAACTCTTTTCACTTTCTTGTTGGAGTAAAGTCGTCTTTAGTGTTTTGTCAAGAGAGATTTTCAATGTACATCACAAACCTTAGCAAATTTGTGAAAGTCACGGAGTTTTGATGTCAAGCGGAGACTACGAAGTGGTTCACCACTGCTCTTATGGCACTTCCCTTGGCTATCACGTGAATTAGGAGAAACCATAGAATCCAAACTATCTCTGTATCCAGAAGATGAAGGTCTAGGGGCTGTTCTCTGACACTCAGATTCGTTCGAATCCAAATAGGTCTCACTTGGCACCCGTTCTTTGCTTGGTGTTGAAGGACAATGTCCAACAAAACCAGCAGATTGAGATGGCGACTCAGGAATTACCATGTCTTCTTTCTCAAGATCGCCAGCAGAAGCTCTGTTGATAACACCAAGAAATACTCGAAAGACGCTATCTAGTTTCTGATGAAGGGTGAGAAGGAATATATGAAATCCCTGCAAGTCACGCAGAGCTGCTCTAAATCCAATCCGAAATTCATGCCCTATTGAAGCCAAATCAGCTGCCTGATTGTTGTTCATTGCATCAGAAGCCTCTAGAGAAGATCCTAATTTTCCTCCTGTAATCTCGTATAATAATTTTGAAGCATACTCAGGACTGTTAATAAGGAGCTCAACCAGCTTAGGATAATTTTCTTGATCACTTGCACGCTTTCCTGCAGGTGGTCTTCGAGGAACCCCAGAGTCTATTGCTACAACATGAAAATACGGACATGTTGTCTCATTTGAAGTTTGACTTACACTCAGATTGCAGGATTTTGGAGATTCTGTAATGTCAGATAGGTCAGAACTCTGTGATATTAATCCTGGGTTAGGAGTGCTTATTCTGCTATCTACAGAATTAGCTCTTCTTTCTTTCTGAAGTGCCCGAATCACTCTTGGCCTATATCTATCAATTGCAGAATCAAAGGCTGCCGCTAATGCATCCAAGTTCACAGAATTCACTTTATCAGCCAATAATAAGTTTGCAGGATTTCCGCGCCATCTCAGATGGCGACATGGAAGTCGATCTTCATTTCTTATGACAAGATCCAACATTAAAACCCTACCTAGGGCAGCTGCAGTCCTTTCTCCTGCTTCTCGTGAATCAAATGCATTTGAGCTCTCCAATAGAGGGGACCCATGGATGTAACTGAAATAGCAGGTCATAAAAGCAATAAAAGTATCAAAATATAATTTTAGCATCATTTAACATTGCCTTAGACTAGAACTAACTGTATCTTTTGTGACAGTAAAAGGGGAAATGTAACACAAGCACTTCCCAAAGTGGTCCCTGTCCTAGTGCACCGTAATCATCTAACTTGGTCTTCCACTCCACTTTCCTACCTTTGCCTCCTTCATCTTTAACTATTTCGTTTAAGTTGTTTTCATAATCATTAAATTAAATATTCCAAATTATTGATTTAGTAATATATTCAAGCTAAACAGTAAAAAACATATATACATATGCATCAAATCATGATTATGTGTTAGTATGCATTGGTAGACCATACATACAAATACAAGAATGAAGCAAAGAGTTGCTTCTCATTCCACAAGAGGGCATCAGCTGAGAGAAAAGATTGTCAAATCCAGCAACAGCTCCTCGGTTTTGGCTAAGGCTTTCTAAGCGAAGCCTAATTTGATAAGATTTACAACCTAAAAAGAGCAAAAATTATCTATCAAATAAATTCGCTTCCCATAGTAAGTAACAGCCTCTTGATTATATTCTCATAATTTTCAAATTGTGTTCATCTAAATTACCATCCTTCTCAGGCACTAATCCACCAGCAAAGGGATGTTAAGAAACTGGGTAATTAATGTAAAAGTGCTCTAATGCTCCACAAAAAGATCAAGTTGCATACGCACTTCATTAGCAAAAGGCACCGGCTTAGCTCAAGAGCTTCCAGAAGTTCTGAACACGTCATTTCCACAATCTCGTCACCTTCTGAAATAGCTGCATCTTTTGCTTTTTCTGCAGCTTCCTTGATCTGTAACCACTCTGGACTACAGTTATGAATAACCCTGGACTGCAATATTTGGATACATAGTTAATGATATGACCTACAAAATCTAGCTAATTAAATATATAAACAATAACAATGAAAGTGAGAAGGAACGACTTGTGGAGTTTGGACACCTAGCCACTTTGCAAATTCATAGCCAAGACGTTCTGATTGTGTTGCCATCCTTGAAGAGGATATCTTTATAACAGCTGCAGCTTCTTTTGGAGAAGCATCATCATTTTCAAGTTCGTTAAATAGCGCAAAAAATACAACACCTCCAGAATTTACAGTCACCTGTGTTCAGTTGACATGAGTAAATAATTATTAAGAACACAACAATAATGTAAAATGCTCAAACTGTGGACATAATGTGTAGTTGACTTTCCCTTTGCCACTCGGTTCTTGTTAATAATAAATATAAAAAGTTGATTTTACACCACAAGTTCATTACTTTCTTTAATTCCCTCTCATACCAGAAAGTATGTTCAGTTGAAAATGATGCATAAGATTATCAAAATCAAGAAGTTCCTTGGTAAAAGAAAAGTTTAAGGAACTTGAAAAGAAAAAAGAGTTAGATGATTAAGGATAATGCTACAACTTTTTATTTTGGCCATACTATACTTGTTTCAGTCAATTCTACATCTTATTCAGGCAATCAGGTACCGACGAAACACAATGTCAAAACTGAAATACCTCTAATGCTTTATTAGTTTCATCCTCGGACTGTTCAGTACTACTATTGTGCTCCGTGTGGTGAAGAGAAGACAGCATGTTCCACGAAAAGGTGCTTGATTCAATGTCCGAAACCGCAGCTTTTCCAAGTCTCTCCCATAAACTTACTTCTGTTGTTGGCTCAGATGGTAGAGGATCAACCTGATCAAGACTCAACTCTTCTGCACTGAACAAGAATTATACTGGAGCTACATTATGGTTGTAGTTTGTACTTTATTCGTTTATAAAGCTCAACTAGCCCAAGCAATTATTTGCACAATAGACAGAAAGAAGAATAAAAATTCCCATACTTTTAAGAATAGGGTCCACAACAACAGCTAAGACTTTGCTCTCATCTGAAAGTTTTTCATGAAACAAAGGTGTGTTATAACATGTATCACTCATTTAATCTCAATATTTAAAGGAAAAACACAGTTCCCATTCTTCCACTTTTTTAAGAAGTGTCGACATTGTTCTAGACTCTCATGCAAAAAGAAACTTCATCCCTCAACTTGAAGAAGCTTAGGAGCTACCACAGGAGAAAAGACTTCTACCAAATGTAGGTACATATTTTTCACTTGATTTCCTTGTGAAGAAGAAGATGAAAGACAGATAGGAGATCTTTTCACATGCTCCAAGTCCTATGTGTAGAAACAGAACATGAATATGCCAACTTACAACTTCCTCCATTTCATTAGGCACTTTTTCCTTTTTGGACGATTTAAAAGATCGACACATTTCTATATTTGAAAATTCTTTAACATTCTAATTTAGTCCTTACAATATCCTCTTGGGGAATTGAAGTTGCATCTGTTGATAACACGATACTATGGGTACTTTGATTTGGGAGTGTTCTACACCTTTGCATTATGTATGAAAAGACTTTCTTTTTTTCTTAAACTTCATGTCAAGTTAAACAACACCATATAGAATGAAACTGATGTAATAATAACTTTCACCACGGATGTCTATAATTAGTTATAGCTCTAGGCTGCATATACTCGAGTATAATATAACAACGAATTTCAAGGAAGACAACTCAAATCTGGCTAAAAGAATCAAAATCACTACTCTCAAATCTCATTTAATGCTTTTTCTTTCACAGGGGACTGTAGGGAATGTGTGTGCCCAATACACAATAGTTGGACTATTAGCTTGGGTAAAGCATCAATGTCAGTTTCTTGGATCAATAACGTGAGTAAGCATCAATCTAAATGATCATTTGCTACCACTAACCTTAATGGCATGCTATCTGCTCGTCTAGGGAATCCAGAAGAGCGGTACTTGCTGCTACGTTTACGGACCAGCTCAAGCCATTGGGCGAACCGATACGCCGGCCCTGCCGTGATATCCCCCAACATATACAGCACCTGCAAAACAACAATGTTCCATCCACCCTTCAATTATCCAATCCCCCAAACTTCAAAAAAGCAATTAACAATGAAACTGACCCGAGAAGTGACAGTGAGGGGCAACGGGGCCTCAGGCTCGTCCGATCCCAGATCGAAATCTTTCTCCTCTTCTCTCTGCAAATACATAACTTCTTCCCACTTATATAAGATCGCTATAAGCAATACAAATCGACAGAACCCAGATCTATATAATTCAATACACACACATACTGCAACTACAGTAAAACTAAAAGCTCATAATGATTAAAGTGCGATGCCTATATCTATATGGTAGGATTTTTTAGTGAAAAAGGGGACATGGGTGTTGTTGATTTGAATATAAAAGGTAATAATGTGAAGGAAAGAGAGCGTGCCTGAAAGGAGTACATGTCTTCTTGATTCTCATTGGTCATTGCCTTACTTTTCTTTGAAAAAGTAAAGTAAATTTTGCCGCTTTTTCTGGGTCGTTGAGAATTTGAGAGAATACGGTAAGTGGGGTTCAAGATCAATCAAAGCTGTTTAGCAGAGAGCGCTTTTCATGGAGATTTTAGATCGAAACTCAGGTGAGTCGCTTCCTTTTTTAAGTCGACAGTGATGATGACACACTCACAGTCGGCTGCTTTATGTTAATTTACGGATTTTGAATGCAGTCCACGGCGAATCTAGAAATTTTGCTTAATTATATCGAAATTTTAGTATATATATATATATAAAATAATTTTTCGATGAAGGTTTCAAGTAACATCAATGGAGCTAAACCATCACATAGGTAAGGTTCATGCATGTATTTCCATTCACTCTTGCCAATTTTAACTAAACATATTCGATTAAATTTTTAAGATCTGCCTATTTTGAGAAATATTAACCCATGTTCAATTTAGCATAGAGTTAAAGAAAGTTAGTAGGCGCTGGTCATGTGATACTATATCACGATATAAAATCGTGAGATGAAATCAGATGATTTAGAAATTTCATATCATATTAAATACAAAAATTGATCCACAAGTGTTTATATTTTTTAAAACAACCTCCCATTTATATTTATTAACCATTTATTTCATATGTAAATAAAATTTATAATCAATATAAATAAGAACGGAGGGAGTAATACTTTTTTGACCAACAAATAGCTCAGTGAGTAAATTGTTTGTACTATGTGAGAGAATTATATTAAATACTAGTACACTACTATTCATGTTCAATTTTTTTATTGAATTAATATCAACTAAAGCTAGATGAAACATTTACTTAAGTGGAGAACAAATAGCTTTATAATAATTTTGTTTATTTGGCAAGATTGAATAAACAATTGTGACTATTTTAATAGTTTTACAACTTATGAGATTCTTATGTTTATGAGAAAATATAGAACACAAATATTTCATACTATATGTCTAAAGAAAACTTCAACTTCATCTCATAATTTCATATAATGATATTATATCATGATTAAACTAAAGATACGTAAGTAATGAAGAAAGGTAGAAACCATCGTTTGATAAGGCTGCGTAGTATTAGGTAGTGTAAAGGCGGACCCTCAACTCATTTAGACTTCACTATTAAAGTATGTCAAATGCAAACTAATGAACAAATGAATAGTTATTGAATTTGTTGATCAAGTTCATGTAAACAGCTATCTAAACACAAATTAGGCCCTACATCAAGATTAACACTCTAATTATCTTCTTCAATATCAAAAAAAAAGATATTTGGGCCTGGAGTTCCACCTCCAACACTAGCACCAACAGCCACATTACTCTTGCCAACCATCCGTAAGACCTGTTCAGTTATTTTTCAACAAAAAAGAGAAACTGATTACAATGAAGTCAAGCTCAAGTAAACAATAACAACAGCAGATATGGGGAAGGTAAGATATACGTAAACCTTAACCCTACTCGTGGAAGGTAGGTAGAAAGACTGTTTCCGATTAGACAATGAAAGGCATTTCAAACCAGTTTGAGAAAGTAAAATTTCTTGCCTGTTTGTAAATGTTATTGGGGGGGTCAGCACCCAAGTTTTCAAGAACACGAGCAGCCACACCTTTACCACCGCGCAACAATCCAAGTAGCAAGTGTTCTGAGTCAACATAATTATGCCCTGAATCACAACGAATGATTATACCATCCAACAAAAGGCTAGGCTGAAATGGTTAGACAGGGGGTACCTAGTTGGCTGGCTTCCTCTCGAGAGAGTTCAAGAACACGCTTTGCATGACGAGTAAAAGGGATTTCCACTGCAACGAATCCACTACCCTTGCCAGTAATCTTCTCTACTTCAATACGAGCATCTCTCAAATTAATTCCCATGGATTTAAGAACCTTAGCAGCAGTACCACCAATAAGACCCAACAGAATTTGTTCTGTCCCAATTAAATTGTGACCTAGTCGTCTGGCCTCTTCTTGTGCAAGCATAATTACTTTTACTGCTTTCTTGGTGTTGCGCTGCTCAGACATTGCTTTTGGGACAATTCGACACTGTTTGACAAAAGTTGCAGCTGCCACTTTTGAATGGAGAGTTTCTCCAGATTTTGCATCTAATACATTGCACCCTCGCAGTCCTACAAAACTCTTCAGCTTTAAGGAAGGAAATTTTACATCACATATCATTCTAACACTTGTTTGATTTTTCCGGGATCCATTGAATTGTCCATCCCTTTCACCAGTAACAGCAACTGAAGATGGAATGTTTATTGACTGAACTAAAGCTCTAGCCATGATGGACCTGCAACCTGAAAAGAACATCATTAACAAACATCAAAATAACAGGTCAGAACAACTCAAATGAAGAAAATTAGTTCTAAAGTTTGAATCTTTACAGATGTAATGGGTTGAATTTCAACACAAGAAATAAAGGGTCCAAGTAAAAAAATGCAGAAACACCGAACTCAAAACATACCCAAAACCAAATCTTGAAAAGAACCCTAATACCAATCTGTGTTATTCACCAAAGTCGTGTGAGAGCTATGTATATATAGGAATTTTACTTGCGTACCAATTTAGTTGTTTTCCTATAAATAAGGGTTTTCTTTATTATAATTGATTATTGCATATAATTAAAGGAATTTTATTTTTTGGAAAAACTACTTAATAAGACATACTTTACTACATATATACTTACTTTATCTCTAGTTTAAGAAAATTATACATAATATCACTTTTAATATTTATACCATATATTTTTAAAGATTTTAATTAATGGTACAATTTAAATTATTTTTTCATTAAAATTTAAACTCCTTATTTCTCATTAAATTTAACTTCGAATTAGACCGAGGTATAATGTTGCTTCGGATGGTGAAATCAGATTGTTTTCAAAGCTTCTTGTTCCATAAAAAAAGTTGTGTCGCATTGCAGATATTCTCTCCATTGAATATCAGAGGTAAGCTCTAATCAACTAATTCCTCAATGCAATAAAGTGGACCTCAACACCACCATCTATAACATACCTCAAATTCAACAAAATTTCTACTTTTTTTTTCATTATTCTCATGTATCTTGATTTACATCATGTTTATGTATTTGAGATAGAATTTATATTGTTGTAAAGTTTGAATTTATAAACATTTACAAATTAGATTATAGGGTCTTCATCTGCCAACATTTAAGCCGAAACTTTAAGATACAAATAAAGAATTGATGAAGAAGATGGAGTTTATAATTATAGAATTACTATGGTTTATGATTTTGTTATTTTAGAAAAACTTGTGAGAGTTGATACACAAGATTCTGTAAATCCGTTTGAGTTGTTAATTATTCATCAATTAATCCTTTAATTAAGGAAATAAGTTACACCCTTTTAATTCAAAGTGATAAATGGTGTATCTTGACTTTCAAAATCGATGGATACATGCATTTCGTGAGTAATGATACATGTATCTCAATTACTCCTTTAATTAAGAAAATTAGTTGCAACTAATTAATTTAAACAAATAAAATATGTATCTCGATTTTTAAATTTGGCAGATACTTATAATTCACGGATTCAGACTCATGTATCCTAAGCACGAAATATGGTAGATACTTGTATCTCAACTACTCCTCTAATTAAGGAAATAAGTTACAACTAATTAATTTAAACAAATAAAATATGTATCTCGATTTTAAAATTTGACAGATACATGTATCACACAGATTCAGACTCGTGTATCCTAAGCACAAAATATGGTAGATGAAGTAGTATTTGAAAATATTGGGAATCTTAGTAATTAGAACCCAAACTAATAAGATTTATGTAGTTTGCCCTCTATTTTTATCTTAGGTCAATAAGGATTCAGTTTAATGAATTAGTTTGACTTAACATGAGAAAGAAAGAAAGAAAGAAATACGCTTTAAATTTTTAAAATCGATTAAAAAGGAAAATAAATAGTATAAAATGGGATACAGAGAGTATATAATATTTAATTAATTTTAAAGTTCTAAGCAATATTATTAAGGAATTTCATATTTTTAATATAGTATAATACACATATTTAATGTTTTATTTGCTTTTTTAAAACTTTATTTATCGTCAAACTAATACACATTATTGGGGAAATGTAAAAGATTATTTTATTTAATTATTTGATTTTTGCAAGTGATGTCCAAGGCTCACTTAAGATACTATCTATTTACCGAAAATAATATATATATATAAAAGAACCTTAGGCCCGCTTACGTAGCGCCACTACAAACCAGAATTCCCTTTTAGTTTATTTATTTATAAAACTAGTCTTCCTCTTTCATGAAAAGTTATGAAATTTATGAAAAGTTGTGACTTTGATGAAGAGTTGCGACTTTTATGAAAAGTTGCGACTTTTATGAAAAGTTGCGACTTTTATGAAATGTTGTGCCTTTTATGAAAGGTTATTACCTTTTTGAAATGTTGCAATTTTTCCAAATAGTTGTAACCTTTCCGATAAGGCACAATAAACATTTATTCACACTACCCTTTGTTGTCTATAAATAGAGGGATTTCCTCTCATTTTAATACAAAAAAATTCTGAGCTTCTTCTTCTTCACAATTAAATATTTGTGTATTTTCCTCCTATTGAGTGGCTCACTGACACCATTGCTTATGTTACAGATCCTGATATGTATTTTTAAAGTCATTAATTTATGCTTATGTTATAAAGGATAAATGATAAGATGTACTAATAATTTTCATTTTTCTTTACATTATTAATGTTTATTACTACGTAATCTTATATGTAAGATAATATAGTATTTTAGTTTTAATTACGGATAGGTTTTAAGTATTATCTTATAAATTCCATGATATTAAATTCTCGCATGAAACGCATGTAATTTTACTAGTAAATTAATAATTTAGATCTTGAATTTCGAGATCTCATCGAAAATGACTCTTGGATGATTTTATTTTTTTTCTTCTTTTTTGGCAAATTTTCCTGATTTAATTGAAAAAGATTGTGAAAGTGAAAACTTGGACCAAGTATATCCTGTGGTGCTTATATTTGGAGTGACAATAACTTTTGTTTTGTTTTTAGTTTAAGATTCAAGCCCTAGTATATTGTTCATGTATAGTGCACACAATATGACACCCATCATAATTATGGTGTTAGGGCCAACTTATGCGCATCACAACTACTTTTCACCAGTATAGCCATCTGATAACTCAACCTTCCATGGCTTAGACAGGCTAATAACGTTTGTCAAATGTAAACTAGTGAACAAATAATTATTGAATTTGTTGATGAAGTTCATGTAAACGGCTATCTAAACAGCTATTTAGTAAGATTGAATAAACAATTGAGGCTATTTTAATAGTTTTGCAACTTATGAGAATCTTATGTTATGAGAAAATATACCACATAAAATTTCCACGTCCAAAAAAAACTTCAACATGATATAATGATATCATATGAAATGGCCAAATGGGCCTAAAACTTTTTGAATGTTATAGTATCAGGTAGTGTAAAGGCTGACCCTCAACTCATTAAAGTATGTCAAATGCAAACTAATGAACAAATAGTTATTGAATTTCTTCATGTAAACAGCTAAAACAGAAATTAGGCCCTACATCAAAATTAACACTTGAATGCTTCTAATCATCTCCTTGAATATTTCTAATTATCTTCTTCCACATCATAAAAAAAAAAAAAAAAGATACTTGGGCCAGAAGTTCCACCTCCAACACCAGCACCAATAGCTACATTACTCTTGCCAACCACGCATCCGAAAGACCTGTTCATTTATTTTTCAACAAAAAAAGAGAAACTGATTACAAGGAAGTGAAGCTCAAGTAAACAATAACAACAGATATGGGTACCCCTACTCGTGTAGGTAGGTAGAAAGACTGTTTCTAATTAGACGAAGAAAAGCATTTCAAACCAGTTTGAGAAAAGTAAAATTACTTGCCTGTAGGTAAATGTTATTGGGGTCAGCACCCAAGTTTTGAAGAACACGGGTAGCCACACTTTCACCACCGCGCAACAATCCAAGTAGCAAGTGTTCTGTGTCAATGCAATTACGCCCTGTATCACACAATGAAATGATTTTCAGAATAATTAGACCATCAACAACAACAACAATAGGGGCTGAAATGGTTAAACAGGGCTACCTAGTTGGTGGGCTTCCTCTCTCGAGAGTTCGAGAACACGCTTTGCACGACAACTATAAGGAATTCTCACTGCAACGGATCCACTACCCTTGCCAATAATCTTCTCTACTTCGATACGAGCATCTTTCAAATTAATTCCCATGGATTTAAGAACCTTAGCAGCAGTACCAGTTTCCTCACCAATAAGACCCAACATAATTTGTTCTGTTCCAACTAAATTGTGACCTAGTCGTCTAGACTCATCTTGTGCAAGCATAAGAACTTTTACTACTTTCGTAGTGGTGATCTCATACTTTGCTTCTGAGACAATTCGACACCCTTGTTGCCGTTTCACAACCACTTTTGAATGGAGAGTTTCTCCAGATTTTACAAGTAATGCATTGCCCCCTCGCAGTCCTACAAAACTGTTCATTCTAACACTTTTCCAGGATCCATTGAATTGTCCATCCCTTTCACCGGCAGCAAATGAAGATGGAATGCTTATTGACTGAACTAAAACTTTAGCCATGATTCATGTACCTACATGATAGCAAATCAGAAAAGATCAACAAAATCATTAAGTAAAAACATCACAATAACAGATCAGAACAACTCATATGAACAAAATAAGTTCTAAAGTTTCAATCTACAATAATGCAGAAACACTTAATTCAACACATACCCAAAACCAAATCTTGGAAAGAACCCTAATACCAATCTGTGTTATTCACAGAAGCCGTGTGAGAGCTATGTTCTATATATATAGGAATTTTACTTGGTATCGAGTTAGTTTTTTTTTCCCTATAAATAAGGGTTTTCTTTATTATAGTCGATCATTAAGTATACTTGAAGGGATTTTATTTTTATTTCAAGTCAATTAGGATTCTCTTTAATGAGTTAATTTGACTTGCACCAGAAATAAAAGAAGGTAAAAGAACATTTTTTAAATTAAATTTTTATTAAATATAAAGATGTGACATTCTTTTTAGAATTGACTAAAAAGAGAGGAGAGTTTAATTGATTTTAAAGTTCTAAACAATATTATTAAGAAGTTTTATGCTTTTAATGTAGTATAAATAAATTATACACATATTTAGTTGAATTTTATTTGCTTTTTTTAGAACTTTATTTATCGTCAAACTAATACACATATTTGGAAATGTAAAATATTATTTTATATAAATTTCTTTACAAGACTCTTGGAAGATTTATTTTTTTGGAAAATTTTCCGAATTTGATTGTGAAAACTTGGAATAAGTAGATCCTAGGGTGCTTATATTTGCAGTGGCAATAACTTTTGTTTTGTTTATAGTTAAAGATTCAAGCCCTTGTTTATTGTTCACGTCACCCATGCTTTTCATTATTTTTTTTTAAAAAAACACACAATATGATGCCCATTGGTGTTAGAATCAACTTATGCACATCACGACTATTTTACACTAGTATAGATACCTGATAACTCGGCCTACCATGGCTTAGACAGGCTAATAAAGATTTTTTTACACCACCTATACATGTTTTATGAAGGTAATATTGTAATGAATAGTTTGGGACATCCTAAAGAAAGCTAGAAAGCATTGTTTGATAAGCCTGCATAGTATTAGATAGCGTAAAGGCTGTCCCTCAACTCATTTAGACTTCACTAGTAAAGTCTGTCAAAAATAAACTAGTGAACAAATAGTTATTGAATTATTTGTTGATCAAGTTCATGTAAACAGCTATCTAAACACAAATTAGGCTCTTAACTAACACTTGATACTTCTATTCTTCTTCTTGGATTTCGACTTTGGAATAAACAAAAAATGAAGAACAAAAGCCAAAAACAAAAGAAAGAAAGATCCTTTGACATTTAATGGTGACAGAGCTATTTACATTATGCTGTCTGATCAGAAAACTTCAGGGAGTGGCTTGCCTTCAAGAAATGACTTGAACAATACAAGTGATCTCTCTGGCTGTGAGAAAGGAGCCTCATGAGAAGCCCCTCTGATCGTCGCAAAGGAGAGGATATTATCATAAACATGTGTCCATCCACCAACCTAACACAGCAAAAAAACGAAAAATGAAATGAACTTTTGCCTGAAAAACAGCAAACTGGACGTGATGAAATAAGATTGTTTAACTTCTATACATTAACAATGTAATTGCAACCTTCTAATGAATTTTAAATTGCACTGTTAGTGGATGTATGAGTTTAAATTTATCCATATATATTACCTGTTGTCCTGCAAACCAAACTCTATAGGGGACAGTTGTGTTCAGCTGCATCTGCCTTGCTAGTTGTTGAACAGTTGCTCGGCTTCCAATCAGTGGAACGACAGAATCTTGATCCCCACTGTTTCGAAAGAGTTTTAAGAGCATTGGTGTTAGACGTCAAACGAATTGTCAAGCTCACATGAGGAATTAAGTGCATGAAGGGACATTAGATGTGGCTGCATTTGTACCTGTATATTAAGACTGGGATTCTTTCTTTGACAAGCATTCCTATTATGGAGATGGTTGGTATCTCTATGTCAAGCAGTTGATAGTCCAAAATGCTGTGGAAGCAATGAGAAGTATCTGTTATTTAGGGAGTTGTAAACTGGCAAATTATTGTACCAGAGGCAATGGTCAATAAAAAACTCAAGACTAGCTATGTTGTTCGAACTTTTTAAAAATATTGCCAGGTGCACGTTGGATCCTCCATATGTAGTGTCTTTTTTGGAGGATCCAACACAGGTGCAGTAGCATTTTTGGGGTGTCCGAGCAACATAGGAGACTAGAAGATGGTGATTATTAATATGCCTGCTAAGTTGAAGCCAGTGGAATGATACACTTCATATTCTGCTACGGATTTAAGTTATATCCACTCATATGGTAGCAATTTTGTTACAGATTAACTTATGACCTGATTGTGTGAATACTTTTTCTTTTGTCACTATGCTATTCGGCTGTTGATCGTTTTAGCAAAGCAAGAACGCTTACGTGCTGCAAACAGACCATCTGCGTACTCCAACAAGCTCAGCATGAAGAGCCCTTCTCACATCTTTTCGGTTCAAGTAATTGACAACTTCATCTTCCACACATACATCTAACTTCTCGGCATTTTCCTGGTAATTAGTATCACTTAAGACAGTCAATTTAAATGGATAAGAACACGAGAGAAGCTTGACAAATAAAGGGAGAAAGTACACTTACTTGAGGACTTATAATCTTGGATTGGGAGAGCACAGAGGAAATACAAACATCAAGGGTAACATCATACTTGTCCACAAACTTACTGGTTTCTCTACTCACTAAACTCATGACTCTCGAACAGATTGGCGATACAGTGTCTCTGTAGTACTCGCTAACATATCGAGAATAATTACAAGCAGAACTAAACATTCTGTATGTAGGATCTGATATTAGACCATGAGACCAGAAGTACTCTGCCCTCGAATTAAAATCAGTAGCAAATTCCAGAACCGGATTACCTAGCTGCAACGAAACAAAAAAAAGGAGGGATTAAACAGAACTTTTCGTCTAAATATCTCAATAACATGTAACAGCAAACAAATGCATATAAGCAACAAAGAAGTACATGTGATCTGCAACTTATTTAGAAACTTTAGGATAAACTTACTGCAATTCCTTTTAGATTGAACAGCTGTTGCTTCTTGTTAAATGCCATCATGAGCTTAGCTAGTTGAGGTACATAATGTCCTGTAATTAAACAAGCCAAAATGTGATTAACAAAGAACAAAAGACATAAAAATACCAAATAATTTTCCATCTATGACACATATAAGGAATAATCCTACCTGCATAACTTTCACCAGTTAGAAACAAATTGCTTTTACTGTACTGTGGAAATTTATGGAACCAGCGTAGTAAGAAAACAACATTGTCCCTGGCTTAAGAAAACAAAAAAAGACAACAGCTTTAGAATGCAAAGCATAAAGCAAGAAATTTTAAAATTCAAAAAGGCTAAGTTCAATTAGGACAAATAAACAAGGATAAAAAAAATCAGAAAGTTTTCCAGAATCCACATTAACAATAAAGACTTGAAGATCAGCAATCACATGCTCATCATAAAAGTCAAAAAAGAAAAGATGAAAAGGAACAAGCTTTTTAGAAAATGAACCAATAGTTGGAATGCATGTTGAATTAATACTTGACAGCTATGTTGCTCGGACTCTCCAAAACTGATGCCACGCCCATGTCAGTTCCTCAAAAACTGCACTACTTTTGGAGGATTCAACACGCATTCATAGCCGTTTATAAAGAGTCTGAGCAACATAGCTTGGGAGTGGCAAAAATACCTGTTACTTCATCATTTACTGTCTCATAGGAAGAAATATCAGATGAATAAGAGAAGCCAACTCCAATTGGGCTTTCCAAATACAACATGTTTGCCTCTGCAAATATTTCAAGAAAACACAATCATATTTTCTACTTCTCAGAACTATACAGTTACCAAAAGAAAAAAAAAAGGGAAAATATTCTTGGAAAAATGTTATATCACCTTTGTTCCAACTGTGTTCATTTTTAACAAGACCTTCTCCTCTTGGTCTAAATGGTCCATTTTCAGAAAATGCACCAACCCCAAGTGAAGAACATCCAGGTCCTGCATATAAAAATTGCAAATACTCAAAAAAGATTGAAACTTTATCAACAAAAAGAACACCCAATCCCAGAAACAAGAATGTCTTGAAATTGTATACCTCCATTCAACCACAAAACTAAAGGCTTTGAAGCTGGATCTGTTTCAGCTTCAACAAAGTAGTAAAAAAGAGATCGTTGCTTCTTTTCATCAACAGTAACATATCCTGAAAATTGTTGAAACCCCACTTGAGGTTGCCCAGGCAATTTAATGATCTTGTCGGGATGAGGCAATGCAGACACAATTCCTACACAAACATAAAGAAGAAAGAGAAAAACAGCCATAGCCATTGGTTTTGAAATCTGCAAATTCGTAAGGAAATGAAGAGATTGAAAGTCAAGTTATTACTAAAAGAGAAAGAGTTATATATATATTTAGTGTAGCTGGTGCCTAGGTACGATTTTGACAGAATTCAGTAACTTTAATCTAAATTTTATATTTATATTTAAAAATTCAATGTATTACACTTTTTAAAGTTCAAGATTTATAAACTTAAAATTCTAACTTTGACATTTTTGTTAACACATAGCATGCCTAAACCAACTTATTATCAATATCATAATAATTTTTTTTATCATTTCTTGTCTGTAGTTATTGTAGGCATGGTAATATATTTGATGAGATAGAGACCAAAAAATGACCAGAGGGGAAATTCTTTTTAATTAGGTGGTGGCCTCCACTTTGCCTACCATGGGGATTGTGTCAGCACTCAAAATTCTTCTTTATTCCCTCTCTTTCATTTTACAAGGTACTATATTTTTTGTCCATTCTGAGAAAAGTGAGACCTTTCTGTATTAGAGTAACTTCTCATTTTATCTTTTATGAGAAGCTTTCATAATTAAACAAATGATGAAAGTAGTACTTTGTTATAATCAAGTACTTACCATCATTCTAAAAGTTATAACTGATAGAAAATGCATAACTTTATTTCTTAAGTAAGTCAATCAAGCAAGTGTCATGTTCGATCATGACTCCGACCCAGGCCTTGCCATTGGTAGGATGTTGGCATTACTCAACATACGCCCTCCATATCAATTTGATTGACGCGTGCTTTCAACAATGTGTAGTCTTTTAAATCGTATGATCTTAAACATGTCAAGTAAAATGTTAAAATTGAAAAAATTTACTAAAGCCAGAGAAAAGACATTTTTTTTTAGACAAATTAAAAAAGAAATACGACGCGTAAATTGAGAGGGAGAGAGTATATGTTTTAGGTTCCCAAGGGGCAAGATAATAAGTACTCCCTCCGTCCACAATTGTTTGGCAGATATACTAAAAATAGATGTCCAAGATTAATTGTCAATTTAAACAATCAAGAAATAATTAGTCACTTTTTTCCAATTCTGCCCTTAATGATTGTGTAGTTCAATTGAAAAGTTATGTGGACTTTTGGTATTCTTGATATAGTAGGGTTATATTAGTCAAATTACACCTTGTATTAAATTTTCCTTGAGGAATGTGCATGACCTTATCCTGACAAACAATTGTGGACGGAGGGTGTACAAAGTTAAAAACCAGCACATAGTAGGTCATCTTTTTGGGCAGGTAGCTAAAACACTGGAAAGGCATGTTTCTTTCTTGAAAGTAGCTTTAAAAGAATACTTTTCTATGTCTCACTAAATGTATGAAAAATGAACATAAATTATGGTGTCTAAGGAAACAGAATAATTATTTTTTTTGCTTCATCTTCAAGTAAAGAGCATGACAGGATCATAGTTTCTTTTCTTGCAAGAACTTATAAAGCTTTAGTAAATTTTACGAGCGTGAAATACACGCGCATCAATAAATATTAAATCGGCAAGTCTTAACCCTTGAAGTCATAGTAGTACAAAAGGGTAATGAAAACAGAACATAGTTTAAATATGAAACTTATAAAGACGTAACTCAACTGAAATGAATTTACTTTTTTTTTTTTTTTTTACGCTTGATAAATATTACTCCCTCCGTTCCGTTTTATGCGAGGTAGTTTGATTCGGCACGGAATTTAAGAAAAAAAGAAAGACTTTTAAAACTTGTGGTCCAAAATAAATGATAGAAATTTGTGTGGTTCTAAATCATTTCATTAAGGATAAAATAGACATTTTACAATCAAATTGTTACTTAATATAAAAATGTGTCATTCTTTTTTAGACTGACTAAAAAAAAAGTAAGTCACATAAATAGAGACAGAGGGGGAGATAAAACAAAGGGAAAATGAGATGTAGTCCACTAAAATTAGTCTTGTTCAATGAATGTATAAAATTTGATAATGACATATATATACTCCAAATTAAATACATCAATCTTGTAGACATTTTCTTTATGTATGTATTAGGTTGAATGGATTATTATAATATATAGTTTTTGGCCACCACAAGAAAAAGGAGGTCATGTAATAATAAAAAATGAAGTATCATGATTTGTCAATTCACTTTTCACACACCATTTACAAGAACCCATTATACCTTCTACTTCTAAGACAGGGTCCTCCCCACCCTACTCCCAGTCCCCTACAACACAGAAAGAACCTTTCCAAAAGTTGCACTTGCTTAAATCATTCCCTTTTCCCCACTTGCATAACTACCCAAAAGCAGAGACAGATAGACATCTAAGGTTCCGCTATTTATCGCATTGGCAAAGTTAGAAATTTTTCATTTAAATATTTTACATACACAGTATAAGTTTTTAACGAAAGTTATTCAGCTATCTTTCGATTTATGTGCCTTTGTCACTAGATTTAAGGGCCTTCATGGTCTAATCTTTGTTTAGTGACAAGCCAAGCCAGAAATTTACCGTTGCATTGCATTTGATGTTTCGAGTTGAGAAGATTCAATTATTTTATGTATAAAATAGTCTATGGTATCTATATATACAATATATTTTTTTGGGAAAATACATAAAAATCCCCCTAAACTTGGTCGAATAACTTACTTTAATACTTAAACTACATGGGCGTTTAAATACCCCCTTAACATCTTTGAAGTGAGTTTTTTTCCACCCTAAGACTATAACACCACTCTCACCCGCCACATCATAGCCACGTAAGCGCCACATCATAACCATGTAGGCACCATGTCATTAATTTTTATATGTTTTTTACTTATTTACTATTTTTTCTTAAACACTTTTGAAAATTAATTATATCAATTGATTAATTTATAAATGCATACCCCACACCTCTCTTTCTTCTTCCTTGTTGTTCACCATTATTCCAACCTTCCATACTTTCTTTTCTTCTTCTTCACTATTCAACAATTTTTAAGTCACTTTAAAGAAGAAAATTCACTAATATCACATTATCTTCTTTGAACCCTCCCAACGAATTTACCCACTTGGAGAATGGATTTTTTTGAAAGCCAATATTTTCTTGACAACTCAAATAAGAAATGAAGATTGCATAAGAAAGTTAGTCCAAAAAAATATAAATTTTATGAGAAATGTTTGAATGGATCTAGAAATCAAAATGGGTCATTCAAAATTTAAGAAAGTTTACATTTGCCAAATCGACACCAATAATATAGAGTGAAATCGACGTCAATAAAATGATATTGGTATTGAATTTTACGGATTAGTAAAAGACTAGTGAAATGAAAATAGTGGATGGAGGTGGAGATGAAGATGGACGAGGAGATGTTTCAATGGAGAAAAATGTGTATTGAGGAAGACAACAAAATGAAAAGAAAAAAAAATTAAAGAAATTAAAAAGGGGATCCACTAATTTCATTTACCTCTTATTAAGAAAATTTACATATTTTAAAGATTTAATATATATATAAAAAAAACTATTTAAATAATTTGTTATATATAGGCCAATAAAAAAAGGTCATGTGTAGTGCTTTAAAAATTCAATTTTTTTTTCTTTGTTTTCACGCACTTTCAGGAGAGTGCACTCATTCTCTCTGCCACATCATTCCTTAGGGGGTGTTTTAATCACTTCAAAGATGTTTAGGGGATATTTTTAAATACCCGTGTAGTTTAAGTACTAAAATAAATTTTCGTGCCAAGTTCAGGGGATTTTTTTTTAGATATTTTCCCTAATTTTTTCGATAAAAATAAATAATTCTCACATCATGCAACTCTACCATTGCCTCTACATTGTCTTCTTTTCAGCTAAACATTAATATCACTTTAGTACCCATTTGGAAATTAGCTGTTAACACTTAAACACAAGTCAAAGACATCTTTTTGGTACCATTTTTCAAACTCTATACTTAAACACAAGTCAAAGACATCTTTTTGGTGCCATTTTTCAAACTCTAACCTTCCCTAACTAACTTAAGAAATATAGTGCACCTAATATGTTGACTTAATTTAATGTCAATGCATCACTTTTGGACGGTAACAACGTTTTGATTTATCATTCTACTTTTTAACAAAATAGACAACCTGCTATAACATGTTAAATTTCAATAATATTCTCAAAAGTATTACAATATCATCAACGTGTTACGCGTATAATTTAAATCTTATTCATTAACCTACATTGAGACTTAGAGAAGCGAAGAGTTGGTATGATTAGAAACTCCATCTAGATGTGATATATGAACATTTGACATTTTCCCCCAAAAGATATACATACAAGTATTTCCTACTAGTACTCCTTTGTCTCAATAGTGCACCGAGTAACAAGTAAAGATGGATGGAGGGAGAAAAGATGAACAGTAGCATCTTTCCAACAACAACAACAAAAAAGACATATTACATCTTCTGCACGCTCAAACATGATGTTCTTTTTATTTTATGAATTTCATGCCAGCAATAATAATGTTTCACAAAGACGCTCATGAATTTTTCCCACTTCCACCTGCACTCTTCCTTCAGCTGGGGTCTTTGACAGAGGACAACAGACACCCAATAAAATCTAAAATCAACTCAATAAAGCACCATTTCCTCAGAACAAAAAGGATTCACAATGAAACATAAATCAACTCAACTCAAGCACCAGAATTGCATAAATCTGAAGTTGCATCTCAATGCACACATGACCAAACATGTTCATGTTACACGACCCTAGTAGCGTTGTATGAATTCATAAGGCCACCCTCGGAAAAATCTATACAGAAGATTCACATATGCAACCAGAAGTTCATAAGATTTACATTTGGTTATCCAAACGAACAAATCAATTAGAATCCCAACACATTAAATCAAGAACCACTAACCAAATGCTAAACACCATGCACCAAAATTTCTATCATTGAACTACTGATCATAACATTTTCAATACATAATAAAAAGTTCACATAGAAAGAAATCAGTCAAGAGAACTAGACACTTCGGAAAGGTATTTCGTGGAAAGGTTTATCACCTTAACAAGTAAATGTATCTGCGAAGAACATGACCACTTGAGGGCTTAAGCAACCAAAGACACTAAACAGAGGGTCAACAACAACAACAAAAAAGTCAAAACAGCACTAAATACAGATATAGCTACAGAAG